AATTTTGGGTAGTATTATTCCATAAATTATTTATTATTTTATTTTTTAATTCAAAAATAATTGTAAGGGTAATTTAGTAAATCATATTTATCAATAGGATGAAGTGAGATCATTGTAAACAAATAGAGTAATTGTAAATTCATTCTCTATATTAAAATATTTAGCAGATTTTATTTTTAAATTGAAAAGTATTGGTCATTATATATATTAATATCATATTAAATAAATATTCGAAGTAAAAATGTATGTATTTATCTAAGTAAATTTATGCACCCACTTCGCTCTTGAACATTTCAAAATCACTAATTAATTTTTTTTCCGTTAAAAGTTCAGAATAACCTCATATATTTGCAAAATATACCAAAAATTTGTCTAAATGAAAATTATAAAAAACTTAAAGCATCTCATAAGATATGTTGATCTATGTTTCATTCTTATTGTTTTGTTAAGTTATCTTTCGGTCACAGATAAATTAAATTAGATAATGAACAGTAGATCACTGATTTAATTTACGAACTAAATTTATAAAGCGTGTTAATTTAATACTTAATATTTCAATGGAACGATGAACCTGTTAATAATAATTTGCACAAAATGTTCCATCATTAATATGATAATTCTAAAAAGTTAAGACTCATTCATTTACAAGTTATTAAAATAAAATTATACTGGTTTTTTGTTAAATTAATTAGAGCTTAAAAAAATTAACCGCTAAAAATGAATGTAAGTAGGTTAGTTTCCTTTTTTTAAGTTGATTTGTATTTTCAAATTGGTGACTTTTTTCTTAACACTTGATTGAAATTTATAATTTAATTTTCGGGTTACTTATTTTATTTTAAAAGTAATTTGTAAAAAAAATAAAACTTTCTGTATTATTAACATATTAGTTGATATACACTTTTTTACTTCTTCAAACTTATATTAAAATTCTAAATTTGCATAAAGGAAATAGATCAACACTATAAATAAAAGTATACAGAGTGATTGTTTAACTATGGTTCAATTAATATCTTTAAAAGTATATAATATTTTCTATTAAAAAATTAATATTATCTTCTTACTTTCTAAAATTTCTAGAAAACCATTTGACTCTATCTACTACCCTCTTTCTTTTTTAAATTTGTTAAACTTAAGTTTATACCTCGGTAGAAGTGGAAATGACTCTAGAGATTTTACTATGGTTGTCGTGTAAAGTAAAATTTATCCAGGTGAGATTATAATGATTTACTTCAATCAATTTGTTTCACTTTTTTCTTGATTTTTCCAGAAAGAATTTGTTTTTATATTTTTAAGAAATTCGTTATTTGATCTAATTATAAGATTTCCTAATAACAATTTTAAAAAATTATGAAATAAAAAAAATAAGTTGTCATCTATTTGTGATAAATGATAATCACGCGAGTGTTCTTGGTTTTTATAATCTATACAGTTAGTAGTTCTGTTCACAGAAATGCCTAATAAATAAAATAATTGGATTTTTATTGACGTTTAGCTCATAAATTGTATACATTCCAATTCTAGACATATAACACAATTAGATATAATAATTTTTAAATAATCATCCGTAGTAGTCTTCTCAAAATAGAAAAGGCGTGCTTGTTCCGGCGTTTAAAACTATTTAGATTTCCTTTTTGAATGGTTCACTAAACATTTTTAGATGTTTGATAGCATAGAATAACCTTCAAATTATGATAGCATGTGACTTCCTATATTTTAACGAGAAAATGGTTCATTGCGTTTGAAATTATAGTTCGAAACATTCCTGCATTTAGAGAAATATCTGATCTATTATGGTCTATGGGTTGCTATTCATCATATACACTGTTGAAACTATAACCATTTTCCTGAGTGTATTTTAAAGTAAATGTACAAGTTCTATTATTATAAATAGTAGCCCACACCTTGCACGCGACAATCCTTGTGGTATGTTTACTGCTGTTCGTCTAACGAATACTTAACCCGTAACTTTTGTTTAAGAAATAATAAAACTTAAGGTCTATAACTTGGAGGATTCTTAATTAAGAAGATTTATTATCACTACTTTTTTGCATTTTGAGTTGCTAACTCGTAAAGACATCATGGAAAAGCTGTTTTAACTAGTCTGTTTAAATATACGAGATTTCAATATTCGTATTGCACTTCGTGTGACCGTATTGATTATGGTGCGATTAAACTATTCTCGTTATTTCAATTTTATCAAATTTATAAAAATATTTTTTTTTTATAGAATAATTTTATTTTAAGAAACAATTCTCAATGGTTCATAATTATTTATATTTTTATAATTCAAATTATTAATTTAGAATTTTGAACAAAGAGCTTTATCTTAAGTAGAATTGTTTTAAATAAATCTTACTTATCATCTTATTTGTGATAAGTTATTATGTATATTTATATTTTTATTTACTTTTACTTACAAAAAATGTTTTTCAAAGTCAAAAATAAAGATACCCCATACAATTAAGCAGATTGCATTGTTACATTTTTTCTGAAATGATTTTTTTTTTTATAGAAAACTTTGTCTATTGATTTGTATTTATCTAATAAGATTGTAAACTATTTTTAATATTTTTATTGAAAAATAATTAGGATCGAAAACACGTTGGAGTTAATATCAATGACTTAAATCGTATAAACTCTTAGTAACAACTTTTAAGTCTTACATATTTTTATTTATTTATCGTAAAATGTAAGTACAAATTAACAGTATCGTAATTTCAAAGGTGCTGCAGTTCTTTATAATGCCCTTAATAACATTACTTTGAAACCTTTGTGTTAATTATGTCTTCAAATGTAAACATTTTATTTTACATTTATAAAAATAAATGATTGAGGAAGTGCAACATTTTGTATCGTTATTTTTTTAAGTATCTATTCAAATTATGAAATATAAATTTAAAAAAAATTATTAGGGGCTGACCATTAATTTGTTCAAAATCGTCTATACTCATAAAAGGTATTACCTATCTTATAACCTACTTTTTTTTCCCGTTAAGACTGTCTATAGAGACTTGGATCACTCAAAATGATACTGTGAATTGAGTCCTCCTTTTCCGTTTCAAGCCTGATTTAAATATTAAGCTGTCGATTAAATTTTAAATTTACCTGTCTTAAATAGTTCTATCTTGGTTGAACTGTTTAACAATTAGAAATTCCTGAACTCGTTGAAAAATTTATTCTGCTTGTATTTGTGCGTGTTATTATAACTAGGTTAATGTTTTTAAGAACTTATTCTGATTATCATTCGTTATTGTTGTATTTATACGTGAGCCCTTAAATAACTAATGTATATTACAATTATTGGTGTTATGTTAGCATTTAAATAAAATTTCGTGTTTTAATTTCATTGATGTCAGTCGTTAACTGAATACATTTATTATCCAAGTGCAAAATAAATGTACGTTTCATATGTTGAACAGATCGAAATTCATTAAGTATCCTTTTTCTATATTAAATGGTATAATTTTATTCAGTTAGTTCTTCTATAACTTAACTTATTCATTTTATGTCATACTTGATTTTTATATTATTGTTTTAATACGTATTTTCAGTACCCTCCTTATTTTTCGGTATTTTCCAATTACGATATTTATGATTTATTTTTAGATTAAATATATCTGAAATGTGTTCTAAAATATTGTTTTTTAAACGGGAGTTCACAATCTAACTGTTAAGGGTCACCAAAACATAGATTATATATGATTATTACAATTCAGGGTTTTATTCTTTTTACGTAAGTGGGTTTATAGTGTAAGTAAAGGAGAAAACAGAAAATTGAAATTTTCATAAATTTAAAGCCGTTTTAGAGAGTTTCTAAATTCAACGTTCAATTTAATATTTTAATTCTGAAATTATAGTTATATTATAATATATGATGTATAAAATGTATACATTATAATATATATATATATATATATATAATTATAATGTGTTATGTACTCGTAGAAAATTAAAACGCCACTCTAGACGTCAAAGCAAACTAAAAGATATTTCACCACAAAAACATAATTATAAATAAAGGCAAGTGTTATAATGCTTCTCTCAAAAATAATAATGCCTATCAAAGTAGTGATATCTACATTGTGGTCAAGTCTTTATTTTCATTAATTTATAAACTCACATCACACATACTTTCACAAGGGAGGGGGGAGGCAGGCAGTGTTACCTGTTTCCCTTTTATTTGTTTGTGATAAAATACTCACTTAGATGTGCTATGAGGGTGATAAAAATAACAGAAAGAAGAAAAAAGGTTTTTTTTCTTGGGGTTCATTAGACATTGTAGCTAAGTCTATTTTAGCCAAGAACCGGCTAAGCTATGCAAATAAAAGGACAGTGTTGTTCGCGTAAATACGTAAAAATTTTTTTTTTTTAGAGAGAGAGAGAGAGAGATAAGAGGTATTTTCAAAGTTATGTNTACGTAAAAAATTTTTTTTTAGAGAGAGAGAGATAAGAGGTATTTTCAAAGTTATGTTTTTAATGAAATGTATTAATTTACATAGTTATATGTATAATATATTCGTTTATAATATTTTTTCATCGCGTAAATTGTGTGGGATGAGTGCTACTTTATAGATATTCCTAATATGGCGAGGTCATTGAAATATCATCCAGTTTCTACTTTAGTCTTCCCACTTCGTTTCTTGAAAGTAAAACACTTAATTTTCTTTATTTTCAATATTTTTTCGTTATGTAATCAATGTGTGTTAGTCTTTCAAAGTAAAAATGTCTATATTACCACCTAGTAAAGTAAACAAAATGCCTCCTGGAGGAATTTGTCATGATCTTTGGGGTGCTGAGTTTATAGGATCTCCGTGTCATAATAGGCAAGTAAATTAATATTGAATTCAAAAATAAAATGGTCAATTTTTTTAATTATATATATATATATATATATATATATAAATAATTTGTTGAAAAATAGTCAAATATTTAACTCATCTTAAATTTTTAATGTACCAAAAATTTATAACTTCTATTATTTAATTGATGATTATTTTTAGAGTTTTGAAACCACCTGGTGGTGGAAGCAGTGATATTTTTGGAACAGCTACTTGTGACGAAGTAAATCCACATAACCGAGGTAGAAATCAGAAAAATCTCCAAAGTTCTATTATTCTTGGTGGTCAATCACCTCAACATAGCAATGGTTCTGCTGGTGATCCAAGCGCTACAAACGGTTCTTCTGATAAGCCTGGTAAAATAAATATTTTCATAAGAGAAATTTACTAAAAAAATTCAATTACCATTTTTGCTAAAAATTATTGCATGAATCTATAAAACACTAAAATTACTCCGTTAGTATAATGATTAGAATTTAAAAAAATTCTATGTATTTGGACATATATATAATCATTTAAATATATAGAATGTTTTCTAGGTGTAATCTAGATTATAGAAGATGGTCAATTACCCTTTAAAAGTCAAATATCAAAATTCAGTGGTAGATTTAGAGAGAAAATATATTTGAGCTGTGAAGCACTGGCCTTATTTATCTATTAAAACTTTTTTTTATTATAAAACATTAAAATGCAGTATGGATCACAACATAATTGAAACAAGTCTAAAGAATATCTAACAGTGATTAGCATCACAGTCTTCAAAATGCTTCAATGCATTATCTGTCAAATTTCACAATAATTGTATATTTGTTATTTACAATTTTTATTTTTAAATTATACTGAAACACTAATGTAACTTTTTTTAAAAATTTCAATTTTTTTTACTCTGACTTTCAGTGTTTGATAGTAAAACAATTGTCCGACAAAATATATTTTGTAGTATTGTAGTTCACATTAAATGTTTTAATTTGAAATAGGTTTTAAATTGTCAGACGTCCTGAAACATTTTCAAATATTAAGTTAAGCAAAAGTGTTATACATTTATATGTAGTCTCTTTTAAACTTTTTCTGTATTTAAGTTTTTAATTAAAAAATTATAGCAGTTTAAAAATGCCGAAAAGAAGTTAACCAATTCTTATAGTAGCATAATTATAAAAAAAAAAAAAATTTTAATTTAGAGGGTTTAATACTTTTTTAGTACGGTGTGTTAGGTTCAAGTAGATTGAAATTGGATTCTTTTAACACATAGATAACTAAAATCTATCCTGTGACTGCTGAGAATTTTCATGTTTAGAAATTAAAACACAAATATATATAAGGTATAGAACCTATACCTTCAGCATCAAATCTAAAACCATACAAAATATTTTGTTCTTACTTTTGATTATAAAGACTTATTGAGACTCATTTGGGTATACAGTTTATTTAGATTCACTATTGAATAATATCATAACTGTCATAATTAACAGTTTAAATTATTTTTAAGATTTATTTAATTATAAACTTATAAATTATCATTAAAATAATATTGAATTTTTTCTATTTATCTGCAAAAATGTTCATATTCTAAGTAATAATGAAGTAATTATAAAGTTCTATTTATAAAAAAAAATTTAATAATCATATTATAATTAAAATAAATGGGAAATTGTGTGGAACAGTGAATTAATTAATTGCTACTTTAGCGTTGATGTTCAACTGCATATTTCGCTTTTGGTTTCCAGATGGGTGATTATATGTGATCTTAAACAGTGATACATACTTTGTCCCCAGTATACTTGCTCCCTCAGTTATAATAATATTGTGTCAGGTTGACAACTGGTATAAATGGCCTGTCCAAATCATAAGTCAGAGCAGGCACTAAAAGTTGGGATAAAAACTAAGGAAATTATGATGAATTAAATTTATTTCATTGTTTAATAGACAATTTTTTAAAAATCAAAGTATTAAATATATTTTAATATTATATATAATATTAAATTATATTATATTTATATTATAATTTTTTTTTTAGATGGCAATCCTATAACTGGAGAAGGTTATGAAGCACCAAAAGCACCTGTTACACCAGCTAACCATGTTTCTACCCAGTCAGCACCAGCTCCAGAACAAAAAAAAGCATCTCGTGTACCACCTGGTGGCTATAGCTCAGGTTTATGGTAACAATACAGCAGAAAGTTCTCAGCCAACAATTTTATTACAATATGCATCGCTTTATATTTATAAAATATATTTAATGATGACTCATGATCATTCTCATCAATTAATTAATCTATTTTTTGGTTTATAACATAAGCTACTTACATAGTGCTCAAGCGAGTATGACTAAAGTTCTACAAACCTTGCATTTGCATTCTTATTACTCAAGTGATCATTGTTTATACTTTATAATGTTTGTGAATTAATTATTCCTAAAAAAAAAATTATACCCAATAAAAAATATTTTTACTTTTATTATTTTATACTTTTTGTATTTTTTAAATCTGGTAAACTTAAGTTCTTAAATTATTTCAAAACATGTAATGAGTAATCATTATCATAGATTTTATTACAGTATTGCAAATTTCATCTTTTAGATGATCAATTTTGATATATGTGTATCAAATTTAATAACACTTTGTATTTACTATTAATTATAAAATTATCTTCATCATATGGATTCTAACTCCTATTATTCCTTTATATAATTATAATTATATTTGAAACATTAAATTATTAAATAGTATTTCTACATAATAACACTAAAAATCAAAAGTAAATTAAATTAATAATATCCCAAGAAAATGTTATGATTCGGTAATTATAAAAATGAATTTATTCATAAAATAATGTGGCATATCACTAGATCATATTTACTCTTGTACATTAATTTATTAATGTTAGTGTAAAATTTCTATTTTGGGTATTCCTCTTCCTCTATTGTCTTTATTAATTTTCCACATATCCAAACAAGTATGATGAAACTTGGACTTTTGAAAATAATTGCAATATTTATTTTTATATTTACATTCTATTAATTGTTTAGGGTATTCTTTAAGTAAGTTTTTATTCTCGCCAGTAGGAGCTGCTAAAAAATCACATCTTTGTTTTTTTTTTATACAACAATATATTGGACCTGGATCAGTTTCAAATTCCTGACTTAAATCGGTTTTTTGTATCTTCGCCCTCTCAGCAAGAAAACCTGTTACAAATAAATCGTCTATCCAAAAATATTTTTCTGGTATTATAGCTCGTAATAACTGAGCAACAGTTCCTCGGCTAGCTATATACAACCAACCTGATAGGAACGTAGGGTAATAATCACTTTTAAATTCTTGTTTACTAATATACCATTTGTTATTAAAGTCTCTAATGGGTTTAGATTTCACGATGTAGCCCGCTAATTGATACTTACTTTTCATGATATCATTTAATTTGAAAAGATTTACTGCAATATCATCATCGATTTTGATCATGTAAGTTGAGTGACTACAGTATTCATGGAACCATTTTAGAGCCATAATATGTTTATAAGTTAAATTCCTATAAGCTTCATAAAAGTTTCCTTGTACAATGTCTCCAAATTTAGAATTCTCTAATATTACTTGTGACTGAACTTCACTACTCCTTGGCGTTCCGACCATAAAAATATATTGAAAACCCAATTTTTCAAGAATTGATTGAGGGTATGCAATCCGTAAAATACTTCGTATTTTAAAATGTTCAACGTGGCTGTGGACTAGAATTGGTCTTAACGAATTACAGGCGTTGTTATTAATTGTATATCGAAAATTATATAAATTTAACAGATGATCAACTGAAGGTTTTGGATGAACAATTTTTGTTTCCTCTAATGTAGATGTATAATTAAATAATACGCAAAATGAAAATGTGCTTATGAAGAGCAATAATAATACAATTACTTCATTTTTACGAAATTCCATAAGTTATTATTTTAAATTGTATCAATTATTCACTATTATAACATTTCTATCAAAACTAATAAATAATTTGCATTATAACCATCATAAAAATTAATAATTATATATTCTTATTTCATTCGGTTTTTTTTTAATTGTAATTGTTTAATACTTATCTAACGCATTGTAAGCTTTTATTTCAACCTTGTGTATATTATTACTGAATCATGTACTGTATCTTCCTTATTATAGGGCGTTTAAAAATTAAAATAAATAAATATTTGTTAAGATAATCGCGAACAAAAATATACATTTAGACACAACAACATAGAAACTGAATATTTTTCTGCGACATTTATTGAGACTGAACTATACTTTCACTTCGCATCTCACTACAACGTGTATTGTTGTGGATCCGTATAGTTTGCTTGTGTGTACACTATCTCGTCAAATTTACGAATGACCAATTATTTTCTTACGTAGGTTAATATATAGCTCTGAGAACTTATAAAAAATGTGTAGGTTTAATCCTATCTATTTTAGATTCAAATTTTAAATATGAGCGGTGTTTTTATAAAACACTCTTATTTATTTTATAAAATAATATTGGCGAATTAAATTTTTTTTACTAAGATAAAAACTTAACAGGGATTACTATAAATTCTGTACATCCAAAGAAAAACCTCAATCAATTTTGATAGAGAAATTTTATCAAGGGTTTATGATAATGTTTTATTAATACGAACAAAATAACTATTCTTATGAATAATTATTGTTCAAGACAAGAAAAAAAATTATCATATTGATAAATATATCATAGGTTCAATAGTAATGATATATTTATCAAATTGAACAATGAATTTATTATATAGATCGAGGTTTTTCTCTGGGTGTATCAAGATACAATCGGCGGATGATTAATTTAAAAAATGATCATAGGCGGATATTTGTTAAACATCTAAAAACGAAAGCATTCGTATTCTATATTAAGATTACAATTGAATGCGTTCAAAATTAATTTTTTTTTTTCAATTTACATTGAGCTTGACAAGTATTGACACATGTTAGGGGGCTTAGCTCCTCCTAATTTGTAGAAAACTATACTTATTATATATAAAATATGTACACAGGGAGAATTATAAACAATTTTAATAGTTAATATTAGATAAGTATGTAGTAATTGAAAAATTAAAGTTGATACCTATATAAATTATTAAGGTATAATAGTAAGTAAATAAAAAAAATACTTAGCATATCTTAAATTTTGTAAGTACTAAAGTGGGTTTTGATTATTTAATCATCACAGGTATTGTTTGGAGATGAATGTGATATAAACTGTATATTTAATTTTTATCAAAACTAAAAACATTTTATTTTTAGAAGTTTTAAAAAAATGCCTTTTTTTATTTAATTTGAATTCACATTCATATTGTAAAAATTAATTTACTCATGAATTCGTACGAATACATTCATTTTAAACCCTGTTTTTTATGGCTGGTACTTACCACATTTTATTAAGATTTTAGCACGCTGATATAATATTTAGCAAAAATTAACATTGAAATTAAATTCTAAGTATTTATTTTATATAAACTCAAATATTAGAAGCCAGACGGGTTTTTTTCCCTGCGTGATCAGAAAGAACATGATCATATAAACGTATATTATATACAAATTATACATGAAAGTTTTTTAGGAAATAAACAAACAAAAATGTTCATACAAAATAAGAATTAAGTTAATTTTTAAAATTTGTATAGTTTTGTAGAAAATGAACTTGTTAATTCTATCACTGGCTATCATATACCATTTAAACATAATCTTTAGAAGAATTGGAAGTGTTTAATTCTCTTTCTATTAATATTTTATAGTTTTAGTCAGTTAATTTTTAATTTTAGATTTCCCATGATTTAATAAAAATTGTTTTGTTAATAAAATTATATCTTTGCCCAAACTTCTATATTTTTAGCTTTAAGTTTGTTCTAATAATTCAATTTTTCTTGGAATTTTATGACTTGCATAATTTTTTTTGACCAAAAAGAAACATAACTAACTCTTTTCTTGACCAGAATTTAAAAAAGAATTTGTTGTAATTTCTTACAATAAAACATTTTTTTTATAATTTTGTAGGCGACCCTCTTATGAGTTATGTAACCCTCTTACTCTAACTTTCAATTATTCTGATTATAATAGAAATAAGGGTTAAGTTCACAACTCATATACTCGCCACACAAATTTTTTTTTGTTTAACACATAGAAAACATTTTTATTTTAAAATAAGCATATCAAGAAAAAATATTTAAGTGCAGAGCTCTTGAAATTCGGAGACCCACACTGGGTCTCCGAATTTCAACTACAATCGAAACAACTACACTAGTTGTTTCGATTTAACCCGTACATATTATAGCCAAGAATCCACAAGAATGAATCAACTTTTGATTTAAAGATCAGTTACTTTCTTTCATATGTATTCTTAATATTTTAACTAATTAATTTTTTTGGGATTATTATTTATAACTGACTATAATCTTTTTTGTGTATATTTATCAGTTTAATTCAGTTTTTATTTTAACATTTTATGTACGAGATTTTTTCATTTAGGTCAGTCGGTCATCGATCGCGGTCCTGCGACCTATCGAGGGACCTTCGCGTGGAGGGTCGCCACTTATGCTGTCAACGGTATATATATATTGCATACGATAGTAGTACAATAGTTTACAGCTCTAACTGACCGGTCACACTGTAGCTGATCGTCAAATATGTACTATACACACGCGCTGGCGCACACTATACGCTACTACTACTACCTACTACTACAATGTGTACCACGCACGCTCGGCTGTTCTCGTACGCGTGGGTGCGAGTGAGATAGACAGTTGTATAGACATCCTTTGCGCACAGCTTAAATCAATTGTGAACAACAGCGCGCCTTCGCTACCGCTCGCCAACACTGCCTCTGCAACCGTACGGTTTGCTCAGCGTGTACGTTGTCGTTTTGTTCCGCTGTTGTTGTTTCCGTACACCGCTTTTAGTTATTTTGCTATTATACCGAAAATAAAATGTAAGCTTTATACGACATTTAATCTGATATTTTTGTTCGTTTCTGTATCTTTCAAAAATCATCGTTGTCGGTATGTTTTTGAATGACAACTGTACGGGTGAATTCGTCGGCGGGTCACCGTTTTCGACGGATCATTTCGTCCGATAGATTGCTCGCCGTCTTTTAGCCGTACATTTAAGGGTAATTACTAGAATATTATCTACTATATTTACCTAATTGTATGTACTATTATTTTTATTATCGTTGTTATGTTTGTGTGCGTATGCGTATACGACAAATAGTCATTGTGTGTATGTATAGTATCGTTTCATTCATCCTTTGTTCCCGAACCTACACCTAATCATCTGTTGCGCTGGTTGCGGATGATAACGAGGGAATTTTCATAACTCCTTCGAGGTAAGTCACCATGGTATCAGATCGATACACAATTGAATCCTGCGTGTGTGAATTCGAGAATAATTTTCAAAATTATATTTATATTTTTACGTTTTAATTACTGTCAACGTTGATATTTTTTACGATTTGTCCCAATTGACTATTGATTGATTTTTCATCACTATTATATTCTTAAAATTAATTCATGTTTTCTACTAAATGTAATATCTTGAAGAAGGTAAAACAATATCGAGATATACTCATTTTACTATTAACCGAAGTTCTATCCAAATATAAATTTAGTGAAGAGTAGTGTAACTATACCTTAAGAATGTTTTTAATAATTATCCCAATGATAGTATTAAATTAATTAGTGTTGTGCCCTGCTATTTCATTCAAACATTTTTATGAGTTGTCATTAAACATATGAGCGATTTATTGATTGTTCCTAAAATTATATAACTTCTATATATTGTATTTACAACTAACACTATAGATAAATAAAATATTTTATAGATATTTTAGAAAAAAATTTAAAATCTATAAACATTATAATGTTATTAATATAATAAAAAATTTTTATTTTATTTATAATGACCAAATTATTACTTAAATGTTTTCTGTAATTTTATTTTTATTTAAATATTTTTATACTGAATTCTATTATTCTTATTTTATCACAGGTGTAAATTTAATACATTTTATGAAGTGATAAAAGGTTAAAATAATAAATTCAAAATTGGTGGTTAAAAAATTTTATGATTGAAATTGGTGATAAAATATTATTCAAAGTCAATCATATTTGAATGCTTTAATTTTAATTCCTCTTGTTAGAAGGATACTAACAAACTGATAGAAGGTTTATTTCAAGAAAATTATTAAATGACCAATCCATTTTGATTTTTGGACTAAATTATTAATAAGTCAAAATTATTTTATTATTTTTAGGTAAAATATTTTTGGTTAGGAAGTAAGTGTTTAAATGTTAATAATTTATTTTCACCAATAAGATGATCTGTCATACTAATGCATTTTTAAATTATGTTTTTATATTAGTTTGTATAGTAAAAATTTCAAAGACTAATGAAATATTAATTAAATTAACTTATAAGTTATGCCTTTAACTCCTTAATATTCTAACAGTTGATTTAGCATAATTTTGTGGTATGTGCTACTAAAATACTCACGAAATTGAAATTAATATTGTTATTTTTGACATTTTTCATTAGCAAATAAGCAATAGAATTTTATGCCACAAAAATATATTACATTTTTAAAATTATATATTATTCTAAAAATTATTTCAGTAATAATTAGATTAATAAGAAATAATGATATAAAAAGATATTGCTAACCAACTGTGTATACATTTTAAATAAAACTGACAAGCTATTAATTTTTTTTTATATATAAAAATTTTTTGTTTTATATTTAAGTTAATTATTATTAGTCTAATTTGATTTTTAGTCGTTCACGTAATATTAATAAAGTAGACTACTATCTATTAGAAGTATAAAGAAATCACCAAGCTAAATTTTCTGTTGGACATATTTTGATTTTTATACATTAAGTTGTTGATAAATAAAAATATTTGATAACATAAGTTATTCAAGTTTTAGTATATTAATACATGATATTATCATTGTTTTTTTAGGAATACTTTTTGTTAAATGTTCAGTTTATTATAGTATTCAATTGTATTTTTATTTTCATTTATTAGTAATTAATGCAATTTGAACCAACAAAGAATTATTTATGTTTATATTTTTTGATTGTTATTAAAGTCTTAAACTTTATATTTTTGGTTAGCTATATTTTATTGTTTTTGATTTCTTAAGTATTATAATTATTATTTAAAAACTTTTCTTTATGATATTCATTAACTTTTAATTATTTTTAAGCTTTGTGATTATTTATGTTAATGAATTATTATTTTAATTCATTGAAATATAATTTTTAGTTTTTCTGTATAATTTTTTTTGTTAATTAATATTTTTATTATTTATTTTTTAGATTTAGAGCAATGAGAGATTGTGGACAGACATACACAGAAACTAACCCACTAATGAATCCTCATAACACCATGGACTTAGTTAATTGTCGTCCCAATATTACAGTCAATGTAAATAATAATAATGACCAGTCAACTGTCAAAAAATTACCAAAAAAACGAAAATTTGATTTATCACAGCTTGAAGAAAATGATCCTGTATCAGGTCAAATTCCCTCAGTTCAGAAACAGTGCAATACTAGTTGTGTAGCTAGTGTTGTTGTTGTTCCTCCTCAATCTATGGCTGTTGATTATTCTAAGCTTGATGGATTTGATAGACCAAATTATGCTGATGTACCAGTGATTGTGGAGGATCATTCTGAAAGAAGTGAAGAAACTATATATCCATCAAATGAACATAGTGATATTCAGAGATTAGATGTAGATCTTCAAGAATGGACTGATCATAGGGTTTTAGCTAAAAGAGATGGTGTTTATTTGCCTGGTCTTATAAGACAAGCAACTTCTAATGGAGATGTATGGATTGAATTTGATTACGTTGATGGGCAGCGTTTTATAATGTTTAAAGATGTTTTGAATACAAGCAAATATGACGTTATTAGCGATGCAAGTCCATCATTAAGCCAAGTTAGTTAAATAATTTTTCAATAATTTTTTGTATAATACAATATTTGTGGACAATACTATTGAAATTTCTGTAAATCAAAATGTTTTTCTGTAAAATATTATAGGTATATTTTGATTTATTAGGTTAATATTGGAGCAAGAGTTTGTGTAAGAATTACTGGTTCACAATCAGATGAAGGTCATTTAATTCCACGGGTATTTATTGAAGGTGTAGTTCATAAGATAATAACCAATCCTGTGAGATTTGTAGTAAGTGTTGTATCTAGCAACAATGATGAATATGTTGTAAAAAGAGCAGATCTTCGACTACTTTTACCACCATGGTGGGATGAACTTGAACATGGTATACCAAATGGCCATATACCTTTATTAAGAGAACCTACACCCCCTACCTCAAATGGGCCAACTAATTATTATCATAGTTCTCCACTACAACCATCAAACAATCGTCATTTTGATGACTTTTGTGAAAGTGATGATGATCTTCGTCGAGAAGATATTTTATTTATGTCTGATGCAGGTAAATATTTATCCATTTATTTTTAATAACCCAAAACTATTGAAAATATTTTAGATGCAGGTAAGTTGTCAGGAAGCAGTAAGCGAAGTAGTATGCAGAGTCGAGGTAGTACATGTAGTATATTAGATCATGGGAGTACAACACCCAGATCAACTCCGGCTACACCTAGATCACAAATTACTTCCCCTCATAAATATAAGAAAGGAGATATTGTTACCACTCCTAGTGGAATTCGGAAAAAATTTAACGGTAAACAATGGCGCCGTTTGTGTTCTAAAGAAGGATGTTCTAAAGAATCTCAAAGAAGAGGGTATTGTTCTAGACATTTAAGTTTAAAAGGCAGTAGTCTAAGATCTTGTGCTTCAAGTAGTACAAGTTTTACAAGGTATTTAAAAGTTAAAATTCATCTTTTGTTTTTATATACTGAAATATTTTTAGAAGTTAACTTATGTTGATTGCTATTAATACAGAGAATTTTGTAAGATAAAGTACATAATATGTTATTATAAATTAATGATAATTTTAATGAAAAACAAATAGAATTTTTTTTTAAATTTACTATTGTTTATAAATTTAAAACATGTCTAAATAGTAACCTTAAAATTGAATAATAATCTCGTAATAATTATAATATTAACCAAATTTATTTTATAGAAATTTTATGAAAATATTGGTAGCAATTTCATAACTATTATGAAGTTTTTATTGAAAGATATATAATTTTGTGAGGAATTCAGAAATATAATTTTTTTTGTTTCTTTTACATAAAAAAACTGAGAAAAGCACAATTATCAAAAAAATATACGTAAAGCTTAAAAATTAAAAAAAAAATTATTTTAATTTTTATAAATCTTTTTTAGTGCAGTATTATTTTCTGAATTAAAATAAAACACAAAAAGTTAACAATTTTTTTATGTGTAATTATTACTAAAAATAGATATGATGAAAAAATCTAAAGTGAGATTTGGAGTCAGTATCAAAAATTCACATAGAGTTTACCTAAATATCGTAGATAAGAGAATATTTTTCATTATTTGTTGTTTTGTATTGATATATGTCAATAACTTGATTTAAAAATTTTAAAAGTTAAGCCTTCAATAGTTAAAAAATATACAATTACTCTCTTTAAATTTCAGAGGAAATCGAAGTGCTATGGATGGAGATGAAACATCACGAGAATCCCAAACATCTCCCAGTTTTTCTGAACGTCGATTAACTGGCCGTTTTGATCCAGATGAAACGGAAGCTGCCAACATGCTTGGTACACAACGTAATACTAATATAACGTAGTTTAACATTGTCTTTAAACAATTATGAGCTTGATAACAAAGACCATTTAAATTTCATAGAATTATAAGTGGTTAAATCATTTTAATAGGTCAAAAATCCAAAATTTAACACATGATAAATTTACTATTTTTAATAAATTGTTTATTTTACTCTCGTATAAAATTTCTAGGAATACATTTCATTGTCATTTATATATTTAATATACTTCTGATTGTAAGGGATTAAATATCAGACCATTTAACAATATGTTTTTCATTTAATTGTTTTCAGCCCTATATGGTAAATTCATTCTTTCATTGTTTATGTAGTCATAAATATTGTTAGTTTATCTCTTACAAATTATTTATTTAGTTACATGTTATAAAAAGTTAATTTTTTTATAGTGTCTTTGGGAAGTTCTAGATCTGGAACACCTTTATATTCATCTCCTTGTCCTCCGAGTAACAATAATACACAATCGCCTCTAACTGTTGGCTCTAGACAAAACATGTTTCTACCTATAATATTGCCAACCAACCAGAATTATCCTGTTACTACACCAACAGGAAATGGACATGCTACTCCACCTATAACAAACAGTAATTCTAACAATCAATATAGGCAACAACAGCTTGTTAAGTATGTGTGAAATAATAAATCAAATAATATGTTGTTAATAATTTGATTTTTTTTTTTTTTTTTGTAGACCAGAATTATTAAGACCTAAAACGCAACATAATTTGCATGATTCAATGCCGATTTCCAGTCAAACTAGTGTAATCCGTATATCACCTCATACAATTCAACCCAAAATAAACAATGTCACAGTTAATACTCAAACACAAGCATGTTGGAAAGGTCTGTCGTCACCTCAACAATCAGTGAAACAAACTAACCAACCAATTGGTCAATGGCAGGTTGAAAGACATCCAAGTGTTGTAGTTTCTTCCCAACAGCATGGTCACATATTAGAAAAAGCATTAACCACAGTTGACACTGTTTGTATTTTTTATTTACTGTTTTAAATTTGTCATCTTAAACTTAAACTAATGATTTGTTTAAATACAATATTTAGAATGGTAATGAACCTTATAGTCATGTTGTGGAAAACAGTGAAGTATTTGTTCGGGACAGCAATAATAGTGTATATCAGGAATCTGTGATAAAGAAAGAAACACATATTGAGACAGCCACTCATGTATCATATCCCCACCAACACTTAGTTATTAATACTGGATATCATCAAGTAATAATTTCAAAAATATAATAACTTAAGATATTTATTGCAATGAAACTTTATTTATTTTGTTTTTCCTGAACTTAATTTTTTTTCTATTTTAATTAAATTCTTCATGAAAAAGTTTTTATTAATTTCTCTGGATGATTTTAACATATAGATAAAGACTACTATTACAGCAGTAATATAACACTGTTGATAATATGAAAAAAATCTCGTTACGGCATTACTGCTATAGCAATAATATTTTTAATAGTATCAAATAATTAAAGAAAAGGGGTCGTCCTGGTGTAGTTATTAAAATATACATTTTAGCGCATGGGATCCCAGATTTAATCACTAGCATACCAATGAGATTTTTCTTGTGATTTTCTCATTAGTGGTATCTAGTCTCTGGCCCAAGCCAGCCGTAATACCCATCCTGTCTATCATTGATTTAAGTAAACACTATCTTTGATTTCTTAACATGTGAAAGAGAGCTACCACCATCTGTAGCATAGTTTACCAAGTTTGGAAAATTGAAAGATATAAAATTAATCATTATTTTTTTTTTCAAATGATAAAGAGAATTTGACTAATATATCACATTGAAATGATTGCCAAAATTATATGCGTCTGCCAATGTATTAAGATACAAAAAATGTATTATTTTATCTGATTTACTCGTTATTAAAAGACAGATAATCATTTTATATATATATATATATAAAATAATACATGAATTAAATTATACTTAATAGTTGTATTTTTAATTTAATATATTACTTTATATTTATTAGCAGAGAGTCCAAAACATTCCAAATTCAATTACGACACCTTCAGTTGTCACTAAACATAACTACATACCCTCACAAAATGAATATCAAGATGACCAAAATAAAAATAGTATTCTTCAACAAGTTATTGTACATCCTACTGAACTCTTACCTGTGTTGCCTGTAATGGATGATAGAAAAGAAGAACCACCAGAACCTAATCCAACTTCTCATTCAAGTAATAATTTTGATCATTTTCTTGTTAGAGTTTTTTATACTTTATACTTTTCAACTTTATTTGTACTTTAAATTATGTAAATAATTTATAGATAATGAAAATGGAAACCTAACTATTTATTCTTGGGATTCCTTAATTCCAATCTTAAATTCTGAAGAAGTAGTTCAGACAAATATTTCTGCTATACCAAAATCTATTACTCCGCCTCTATCTGCTCCACCAATTTTAACACCACCACCTGCTGAGTCTCCTGATGTTGATGACGACGATGATGATGTATTTGAACAAGAACCTTGTGATACTGATGATCAAAATCCAAATACAGCAGCTGGAAAGCGTAGAACACAATCTCTAAGTGCTTTGCAGAATACCAAAGAGCCACAGAGTCCTTTAACTAAAGCAAAAGATCGAATACGAAGACCTATGAATGCCTTTATGATATTTAGTAAACGACACAGAGCTTTAGTTCACCAAAGACATCCTAATCAAGACAATAGAACTGTGTCAAAAATTCTCGGTGAATGGTGGTATGCTTTGGATCCAGATAAAAAACAAACATATCATAAATTAGCATCTGAAGTTAAAGAAGCTCATTTTAAAGCACATCCGGAGTGGAAATGGTGCAGTAAAGACAGAAGAAAATCCAGTGGGAGTGGAAGGTCCAAATTAGGTTCCACTGATGAACATCCTTCTCTTGATCATGATCCTATGATAGAAGTAACAATAGAAATGTCAGATGAACAAAAAACCTCGAATAAAAAAGACATGGATGTAGATATGAAAAATGATTCTGAAGATGAACAGATGGTATGTATAACATAAATTAATAAAAAAATTTGTTAAATNTCTTGTGATTTTCTCATTAGTGGTATCTAGTCTCTGGCCCAAGCCAGCCGTAATACCCATCCTGTCTATCATTGATTTAAGTAAACACTATCTTTGATTTCTTAACATGTGAAAGAGAGCTACCACCATCTGTAGCATAGTTTACCAAGTTTGGAAAATTGAAAGATATAAAATTAATCATTATTTTTTTTTTCAAATGATAAAGAGAATTTGACTAATATATCACATTGAAATGATTGCCAAAATTATATGCGTCTGCCAATGTATTAAGATACAAAAAATGTATTATTTTATCTGATTTACTCGTTATTAAAAGACAGATAATCATTTTTTATATATATATATATAAAATAATACATGAATTAAATTATACTTAATAGTTGTATTTTTAATTTAATATATTACTTTATATTTATTAGCAGAGAGTCCAAAACATTCCAAATTCAATTACGACACCTTCAGTTGTCACTAAACATAACTACATACCCTCACAAAATGAATATCAAGATGACCAAAATAAAAATAGTATTCTTCAACAAGTTATTGTACATCCTACTGAACTCTTACCTGTGTTGCCTGTAATGGATGATAGAAAAGAAGAACCACCAGAACCTAATCCAACTTCTCATTCAAGTAATAATTTTGATCATTTTCTTGTTAGAGTTTTTTATACTTTATACTTTTCAACTTTATTTGTACTTTAAATTATGTAAATAATTTATAGATAATGAAAATGGAAACCTAACTATTTATTCTTGGGATTCCTTAATTCCAATCTTAAATTCTGAAGAAGTAGTTCAGACAAATATTTCTGCTATACCAAAATCTATTACTCCGCCTCTATCTGCTCCACCAATTTTAACACCACCACCTGCTGAGTCTCCTGATGTTGATGACGACGATGATGATGTATTTGAACAAGAACCTTGTGATACTGATGATCAAAATCCAAATACAGCAGCTGGAAAGCGTAGAACACAATCTCTAAGTGCTTTGCAGAATACCAAAGAGCCACAGAGTCCTTTAACTAAAGCAAAAGATCGAATACGAAGACCTATGAATGCCTTTATGATATTTAGTAAACGACACAGAGCTTTAGTTCACCAAAGACATCCTAATCAAGACAATAGAACTGTGTCAAAAATTCTCGGTGAATGGTGGTATGCTTTGGATCCAGATAAAAAACAAACATATCATAAATTAGCATCTGAAGTTAAAGAAGCTCATTTTAAAGCACATCCGGAGTGGAAATGGTGCAGTAAAGACAGAAGAAAATCCAGTGGGAGTGGAAGGTCCAAATTAGGTTCCACTGATGAACATCCTTCTCTTGATCATGATCCTATGATAGAAGTAACAATAGAAATGTCAGATGAACAAAAAACCTCGAATAAAAAAGACATGGATGTAGATATGAAAAATGATTCTGAAGATGAACAGATGGTATGTATAACATAAATTAATAAAAAAATTTGTTAAATATATATTTCTATATTTTTTCAGGTTGTATCTGAAGTTCCAGAAATTGATTTAAAGTGTAAAGAAAAAGTTACAGATTCTGATACAGAGTCTCAAAGTGATGCTGAACAACTACAAGATAACAAAATATTCCCCCAACAACATTTTAGTCCTGTTAAATCTTCTACTTCAGAAGTCACTTGTCGGCCTAAACCAATTAAAGCTAGGTAATTTAAATACTTTATTCACTTCATTTAATTGAAATATCCTTAGTATTGATTATTTTCTATTTTTGTACTTGCACATTACATTAAAAGTAATTATATGAAAGAGGAGATTGTAAATTATTAATGTTGAGTGTGATGTATGTATCAAGTATTTATAAATTCTTGTTATTGTACCTGAATAGGTAATAATCAAGACTCAAATAATACTATTTGATTAATAAATATGTCTAGTGAAATCAGTGACATATTTAGAAAGAACACATTGACATTTGTCCCCTCAAAATTGGTAGTACTATTTTAATATAGACATTTTTCTCGTTTTGCTCATAATTAACTGTACTCATAGTACTATTTAATTGTACTATAATAAGAAAAATATTTGTATGATATTTTGTATTCTAAAATACAAAATATACAAAAGTATTTGACAAGTATTGAAAATACAATTTTAGATTACTCAATATATAATAATATCACTACAATAGTAAATATTATAGTTATTTTTAGAATTGTTATTAATATTATAATACAATTTCAATATTCAAACTATTAAATAGTAATTCTATATTTAGGCAGTTTAAAAGAGATCCATAGATAAAAAATTAATGAGTCTTTTATTTTAACTGAAAATTTTTTACAGTTATATTAAATTATTTTAAAATAAAAATGTAGAGGTTTCTGAATAACTTAAATGTTGATTTAGCTCTCTCATAAAACATTATGAGTTTATTAACTTAAAATAATAGATAAAAAATATCCACGAACTGGGAAACACAATCTTAAAGTCAAGTCATATATCAAGGTATTTAAGTGCATGACTTGATTTTAGAAAACTATTGTTTAGAGTATAGTCATTAAAATTATTTTTCTTTGAACTAGTTCAACTATTTTTATTATTTATTTAATGTACATATTATTTCAATAATTTTTTAATTATTAAATATAATAAAATATAATGTAAAGTTAAAAATTTTTAATTAATTTTAAATTATCTAGGAAGATTTATATTTAACTTAATTTAAATACCTTTCACAAGTAAAAGATTTTCATAATAATAAATTAAAATCTCAAGGATTCTAATATTTTAGTATCATTAGTAATTTGACCATAAAATATTTAATGATTATCTTAGATGCATATGAGAGGTATAATTTAACTATACAATAATACAATAACTGATCAATTTATAATAATTTATAAATTATTATATTCATTGTTTGTTCATGTTATTTGCATTGAATGAATCATCATAAAATAAAAATAAATATTATTTGTTTGCATAGTTATTAAACTGAGTTATACTCAATTAAACTAATACTATATTTTTAAAATGTAAAAAAACTATACTTAGTACATTTAATTTTACTTAATTAATTAGCCACAAGTGATCAATTTTTATTATATATTTAGTACATTTATCTTGGTAATTTTAAAATAATTGTAATTATCATTGAGATTTATTAAAATGAAATAAAATATGTTTGTACATCTTCTAGCAGTCAACAAAAATCTAACTCATTGTTTAAAATATCAATTCACATATTTGTAGTTCAGATCTAGACTATGCAAGCTCAATTTTGATTTTTAATAACTAAGCTACCTACATAAATGATAATGACACTGCTTAGCATAGCTCTAAATGTTCTAAAAATTTCAAAGTTAAAATACAAATGTTAAAAGTTAACTATTAGTTAAAAGACTATAAAAGTTAAGTGGTTTTCTTTATTAACACTATTTTTTTATTATTTAATTTTTTTTTTTTTATAAAGAAGTGTTGATTAAAAAATAATGTGTAAGTTTGCAAAAGATAATACAAACTTATTTACTATATTATGTTTAAATTTTTGTATGCCCGTATTTATTTATAAATTATAAATAATAACTTTTTCTCCTATAATTCATTATTATTGAATTTTTAATTTTTTTTTTTTTTAGGCTAGTATCTTCAAGTTCTACAGATTCTAAGTATCAATCTAAAACAGTTAATTCAAGGGAACCAACAACTCCTATTTTATACCCCTATCATTCCCCTATAAATCCTGTAGGAATTTCTCCATTTCAACCTACTGGTGGGGCCTTTAAATTAATGCCAGCTTCACCAAAAGTTAAAAATCCTGAACAATTGCCAACATCTGAAGTAACTTGGACGACTGAATCTGAGACCTGGAATCAAACAAAACTGATTAATACAAATGCATGGGCAGCATCCACTGCTGAATGGAACAATAATAAACCAACTAACACAACTACTGCTAACTCTAAAATTGTTGTCACTCCATTTTCTCAACAGAGTATACTTCATTACAATTCTTCACCAAATAAGGATACAGAACAAAAACCTGTTACTTCAGTTAGACAAATTTTAGGTGGGCGACCAGTTCTTATACAAACAACAGCTAAAAGTCAATCGGGAAACCAGCAACAAGCTTTAACTTTTGCTTTTGTAAATTCTGGTGATTCAACAACTTCACTAGTAACCAATTTACTTGTTCCAACTAGCAGTGATAACAGAAGTTCATCAACTACACTTCAATATGTTATACCAAGTCGTTTATCAAATATTTACTTACCACAATCAAGTAATAATATACAAAATGCTATGAAATAATTTTTTACTTTATTCTTTATTTATTTTTTATTAGGTACATCAAATCAAACACAAGTTGCAAAGACAATTCAATCGTCAACTGTTATCGTTAGTACACATAATACTCCAATGGTTTTGCAATCGTAAGTAAAATGATTAATTTCTTGTTAATGAGAACGAGTAATCTATTTGTTAATACATTAGTTATAATTTTCATATTTTGTTTTTTCAGTGATGCTGAAAACTCAGAAAAAAATGTTAATAATACAAGTATGATTTTTTTTTTTTTATATATAAAAAACATTTTTTTCAATTTTATTATTTTATTATATATATATATATGTATATGTTTAGAAAAAAGTGATCCTGATATTGTTATAAGAGCTGATAATGATGAAAAATTGGTATTATTGGAAAATTCACATAGTGATACTCAAAAAGCATCTAACTCACCAATAATATTTGATTTTAAAGATAATACTGTTAAGGTATATAATATTATTATATTTCTTTATACAGTTTGGTGTAAAAAATTTATATATTTAAGTATTCATTTATAGTTATATATGTAGTTAAGTAAATTAAAATTTCAGATTCATATGAGGTCATTACATTCAAGCATCCTATTAGATAATTCTAGATATGCTGTTATAATAAAATTCATTATTTACAGTCTCCTAAAATTGTTCATTTATTTACGACAATTTAACTTTAAGAGCAAGTAGAATAACATTTTAGGAGGTGCTAGATTAATTTTTATCTCCTAAAAATTATTTATATACCAATATGTGTATATAAATTTTAATTTCTTAAGACACTAAATTTTAGCCTCCCACAACCTTTTCCTGGTTGTGCCTATGTTATTAACCATCCTGATTTAAATGCTTCTAAATGTCTTTTTGGGACTTGTACCTATGGGACAATTTTTCATAATTTGGACCTATTTGTTATATAATATTCTATCATAATTAATATAATTTAACAAAATGTCTGTTAAATTTCTTTTTAACTATATGACTATCTAGGTAGTTATTCACAAAGTCTAGCTGCTTATAATATGTTTGCATCACCCCCATAAAATCTGAAATAACTTCATTTGTTTTTTCAGCATCATAAAATTATTTTATAATTTAGTTTTTTAAATTTGTTAAATTCTTAGGAGAATAACACAAGAAATGATATTGAAGACAAACCGTTTGTACTTGCTCCGACACCAGCTCAACTGGGTAAAGCACCATTGCAAAGACGACAATCAATGGGTAAGTTTTTATTTAGATAAAAAAAATGTACATATACAGGGTGTTCAGTAAATCAGGAAACGGGTTTCTATTGTTCTCATTGTTACAAATAATGAGAACAATAGAAACCCGTTTCCTGACTTACTGAACACCCTGTATATCATTACATGCAATATAAGTATGATATGTGATATAATATAGTAAATTACTCATTTTCTTAAATGATATATTAATAAATGTCATAGAAAATTTCGTTATCTTCTCATATTTTCGAAAATATTTTTCTGATCCATTCATTATTCACCAAATTTTATTTTTTTTTAATTTATTTGTTTTTTTCAAATGATTATTCAGTTTTTTTACATTGAAAATAATAGTCAGTTGTTTAAATTAAATGTTATATAGAAAATTTATGTTAAAACATTTCTGATTTGTATACGTTTTTTTATTGTCATAAAAAGTTTCTTGTCTATGAATCTGTTTATATTTATATATTTGCATTCCTTACATCTAAAACAATTATTCTGTAGTGTGCATGACATATCTGAGTAGCCTACTCAAAGTTGTTTATTAGGATTATAGGTTGTATAATTCAGAGTTACATCCAAGTTTAATGTAGAGTCCTAGCTTATTTATAATAAATATACTTGAAAAAATAAAATTTCTGATATAATTACAACATAAAATGAATAAACTAATAAAATTGATCAAATTATGATAAATAGGCAAAACAAGATATAAAATATTAAATTATTGGTATTTTTATTAGTTTTTAGTTAATTAGTTTAAAAATCATATTAATTAATAAAATATTTTTTCCTATAAAAATAACATCAACTAGATATTCTAATGAAAATATAGAAATTACAAATAGTGTTTAAATAACATAATAACTAAAATTATAAATCTATTATAAATTATTAATCTAGTTATTGTGTCTATAGTTATTTAATAATTTATAATACTTTTTGCATACAAATAATAAAANAACTAGATTAATAACTGTTATTGTGTCTATAGTTATTTAATAATTTATAATACTTTTTGCATACAAATAATAAAATTAAAAAAAAGAACACTTAAGATTTAACATTTTTCTTTGATTAATTCTTACACATTTATGTTTAAAAGATTTTAAGATGTTTTTTTGTGGTGTGATATTTTGATAATATTTATTAAATCAACTTTGGCAAAAAAAAAACTTATTAATTGGATGAAACTCAACACATATATTGAAGTTTTTAAATCTAAAATTTAAATTACTTAATCTAATTTTTAAGAATGTCATAAGTGTATTCATATAAATTCATCTAATAAATATGGAATTATTACAGTATCTTCTAGTCAAGATTCAATGGCTAATTCTCTTCCTGAAAAAGATTCTGAGATGGTTGAAGAAATGAATGAAGATACACTTGAATCACCTTCTGCTAAACGTAGCTTTTTTAAAAAAAATGTTGAAGATGGAATGAATAGAGTTTTAGAACAAGTGAATTTTGAAAGAAAATTTTCTTCATTGCCCCAATTCAAACCAGATGAATGTAATTCTCCAAGTGCAATATCAGTGCCATCTAGTCCTCATGTGTTTAATGCTCAAACATTCCGTAAAAAACAATTGACTGATTGTGAAGGTCAAGTAGAAACCCCAAAGTCATCTGGAAAACTGGTTGGAAACACATTTTTTGGTCCAGATTTTAATCCTGAAGCTTATAGAGGTGCACTAGAACAAGAAGACACGATTTTAGCATCTCCTAGAACTCCCAAAACACCAAGTGGAAGGAATGACAATTCAGCTGCTGAAAAAGGTCATCGAAAAATGTTAGAACAAAGAAGACAATTGGTAATGACTTTATTCCAAGAACAAGGTATGTTTCCTTCTACTCAAGCAACTTCAGTATTTCAGGTAATATATAATATTTTATTTAATAATATAATACTTATTAATTATAATACTATACTGTAGCAATCGTTATAAAGTCATATTAATAAATAAATAAATAATGTTTATGTTTTTATAGGCCAATCACTCTGATATATTTCCAAACAAATCGTCATTACAATTGAAGATAAGAGAAGTCCGTCAGAAACTAATGGCACATAGTACTTTGACACCTAGTAGTGTGAGTGCACTTAATAGTCCTATCGAAACTTCTTCAAATGCACCAAGTAAGTATAAAATGATTTTTATGAAGTCATTGTTGAAGTGTACTGTGATAACAATTGATAATATTTTTTTTCTTACCCTATCAAAAAAGTTTCACTTAAAAAATATTTGGTTTAAATAGTACTAGAATAATTTAAATTTAAATTTATATGTGTTACTATTAAATACTTTAAAAAAAAAAACTAATAAAATTTGATAAAAGGAAAATAATTAATAAACTATATGCCCTATTTTATTACTTGTTTTTTATGCAAAACTTGATTTTCTATTCTAGGTTCAACTACAAATCAATCGTCTCAACAAACACCTAGTGTTTGTACATCCAGCTAACATCACTATGTTATTAACTTTAAATACAGATTATTATAAAAGGTTTACTTAAATTTTATTGTTAAAATTGATATTTTTGTATGTAACAAAAAAAAATATATATATATATATATATATATATATATATTATGTTCCAGTAGTTTTGCTTTACTGTACATAGTGTATATATTAGTTTTTTTTAAAGGTATCAGTCTTTTATTCTGTTATATCTTATTTGATAAATAAAAAACCCTGATATTAATAGTTTTTATTTTTTAAATTAAAATAAAAAAAAGTTGACTAATCATTTTAAAATTTAAATAAATATTAAATTATTTTCTTTTTTCTCAAATAGAACTATGTAAAAATAACTTAATATCTACTATTTTATTATATAGTGTAGTTAAATATTTATTAAATAGTTCAGATATAATTTTAATAAATGATCTCTAAATCTATAGACACATCCACCACCAAAAGAGTCTTTCAAAATATATTGTATATTACTTTTTTAGAAATAAATTAAATTTTTTATTTTGCTTATTTTAAGTTGCTTCATATAATTTTTATCTTATTTGTGCCATAGGTATAGTTTTTAATGTAATACTTTTAACTTACCTATTTTAAATATCCTGAAATTTAAGTTTAATCTGATCATTAAATTGATCACTTGTACTGTTTTGATTAAATTGTATTTTTTTGAATAAATAAAATGCATACATGATTTTTTTATATAGAGTATATATAGAATTGTATTTATTGGAAATGAAATATTGTAAAATAAATTACTTGTATAAATTAGTTGCTTAATTTTTATCCAAAAATTGTCCATTATATTGACATTAATACTAAAGTTTCATTACTGACTTTGAACTATAAATAATCAAGTACTCTTATTTTAAAATTATCACTTTCTACGTTGTACTTAAAAATCATTTGTTTTCAATTTATATATTAATAAGATTTTATTAATTAGCTTTTAATACAGTTATTTTTACTTAACCTTCATTTAAAATTAATAAAATTTGATTGTTAAAGCAAAAAACATATTTTTAGTGCCATAATTTATGTTTATATTTTTTCTTATTCAAAATTAGGGAGGTTGTTTTGCTCAAAATGTGTATGTTTATTCTAAGTTTTCATTAAGATTATTTGTATTGGAACATTATTTATATTTAATCAACAGATAAATTAAAATAATCAATTATTTTATCAAATTTGATTGTATATTTTTTGTTATAGCCATTGAAATGTTTAATAAATATGATTGAAAAGATTTAATAAGTTAAAAAATTGTAATTCTTTATTTTTAAAAATTAGCTCAAATATTATCTACAAAACTTATTTCATTTTTATTATTTTCCTTTTTTTTTTTAGAAAAGCAAATGTAAATTTCTATTCCTAATTAAGTTTATAGTATTATGATAAATATAAAACTAGATATATTTTATTTTAATGTACAAATTTTTTGTAAAAATAATGTTCTTTTTTACTATTTTTCTTTTTCAATTATAACTATAACTAGTTAAACTCTTAGACCTAAAATTTTCATTTTATTACACTTTTTCAACTTAAATATCAATGCAATGCAATAATGTATGATGTTTACTTACTTTCTACAAATCAACAAAAGTGCAATTGGTAATATTATATTATAGGTTTAAATAACTATTTTGAACAACTAATCGTTTTGTTGTTTTTATAATAATAATAAATATTATAATTTTAACCATTTTAGTATCAATGGTTAAAAAGAAATATTTAATGCAAAAAAAAATTTATTGACTGTTATTTTCACTTGTGACTTACATGGTCTATATGTTACATATAAAATTTTGATTTTAAATATAAATAGTATATATTTTTTAACAAAACATATTACTTTATAAGTTGTTGTTAACCAAAAAATTATTTTATATTTTTTAATTTATCTATAACATACATATTATGAATTGGTGGTTTTATCAATAAAGTACTACACTGTTAATAGTTAAGTTTGTGTTTATTTTTTCTGCAAGTATTATATAATTTTGTTTATTTTACTTAATTAACTATAAATTGAGAAATATTATAGAACTTTATTTAAAACAATATTATCTTAAATGCTTAAATTAAAAAGCTATTTTATAAATATAGATTTTTTTTTTCAGAAATTATTTTTAAAATAATTTAACAACTATTTAAATTGGTGTAATATATTTATTGCATATGTATGTACTTGAATTGTTGTATTTTGACAAAAATTATAACAGATATTATTGACATGTGTATACTTTTTAATTTTATTACAATTGGAATCTAAGAATTAATTTTCCACAATCATAGTAATAATTTTATCAAATATATTTATTAAAAACGGAAAATTAGAAATGAGTGTTTTGCATGATCCTATAAGGAATATAAATATTTATTTGTATGTTTATTATAATTAACAGGACTTGTTGGTTTATTTTCTTATAAATAATATTAATAGCTTTAGTTGATTATATTAATATCAAATCCTGAAGGAAATACTTTTCATTAACTAGACTATATCTTTAATCGGTACCTGTATTATTTTCTTCCATTTGTTGAAAAGCGACAAGATTATTATTAAATTCAAGCTGAAGAAAAAAATGTCTATATATGTACAATTCAATTAGGATATTATTATAAGTACTCTATAAATATAATATTCATATTATAATTTGCTGAATGAAACTGGAAAATTTTTAATATTGGAACCTTTTAATTATTATTTATGCTTAGTGTTTTAAAAATTATTAGTTAACTAATGGTGATAAAAAAATTTGTTATTCGTAAAACATGAATGGAAAGAGATTTCATTCCATGTGTTTAGGAAAATATTATTGATAATTAAATAAAATACCATTAAAAATTAGATTTCAAGTTGTCAAAAATAGTGAAATGCTCCCTTTTCCTGAAAATTCCTTCTCAATCCTTACTTATCATTTAACTAAAATAAAACTTTTGAGGGTACTAAATTAATTTCATTTCATTCTTAAAAAAATGTTTCTACAATAATTAAAATGTTATTATTGTCAATTAATTATTTTTTTTTAATTTCGGGGAATTAAGTGCATCTATATAAGACACTTAACCAAACCCCATATGAGACAGAATTGGGTAGAAAATTAGGGAGTAGATTAAGATTTTTTTTTGTTTAACGTTTAAATATATTATAATTGAGTTGAAAGTTATTGAAAATTTATACATTTTTAATATTAAAACCTTATACAATTTTTTCGTTTAATGTTATGAGCATTTCAAAAATAATTCACTGCCATAAGCAGTGTTTAATGTTGGAAAATTGCTACTTTTCTCAGCTTCGATTCGAAACTGAGAAGATATTAATTTTACTATGATGTTTCTTTTTAAATATAACGTTAGAAAGGAATTTATTTATTCATTATTTTTCCATACGATGAAAGCAGTTTATACTTTTATTTATAATTTAAAAATTTACTTTTGTTGATGAATTGTTAAATCTAATGGAAATAAACATATTATTAATTTATTTATTTAATATAATCATAAACAGATATAAACTCTTAAAAAAAATAGAATAAATTAAAAATAATTGCACAGTAATCAGCAGTATTTATACTATTTTCAACATATTTACAAATTAAAATTTTAAATTATAATTTACAATTGTTGACGTATTATAAATATCGAATTTAAACAAATCACGTGACATGGAAAAAAATTAATACAATTCACAATACTATTTTCTAAATTTAAGATTTGTGAAAATAAAATGCAGAACTATAATTTATAGTATAATTAGGAACAAAATAATTTTTTCGTTTCTGTATAATTGTCATGTACAAAAACTAACCAATGTAAGTAACTCAAGACTATTAACAAAACAATTTAATATATTAGTGGCGGATTTACAAGGGATAGATTTCCAAGAGGTGTTCACCCCTATAGATAACGATATTTTACATTATATAATAAGAGTAGGGAAAGACTTTAATAAATGTTCTAAGTAAATTTTTCTTTAAAATATAAGTATCATTTAAGTTGGGGATGGGCATTGGTCCCAGTCTAAATATTCAGTACATTAATTTTAATCAACTTTTGATGTAATATGTTAACATATATGTTATTTATTTTATTAATTGTTTTTTATTGTTAAACTACATCCTTCATACAAGTATAAAAGTTAAAAAATTATATTTTATTCATGTAAAATTTTATAAAAAAAGAAGTCATAAAGCCATTTTTAAAAATAGTTTTTCGTTGTATATAAAATTAATTTTGTAGTTATATTATAGGGATAATAGAGGAACGGTGTGTCCGAGTCGTTACGCGGCAGTGTTTGACGCGCACTGCCTCGGGTTCGAAACTCGGTCACGAGCGACTTCATTTGCCGAACGAGAGATCAGTTCGGTAATTAGAGTTGCCATCTCTCTCTCCGGCGACGGACTAATCACCTGTGCCGAAGTATAAATAGTTAAGTAACCTCCCCCTTTGGGGAAGCCGCTATGGCTATTAATGGGCCGATAAAGCTATATTAGAAAAAAAAAATTAAAAGGATAATCGCAAGTGCCTTTATGGAATGATGGGCTGATCAAAAATTTGATCCAGTCTATTATAATCTGAAATGACTTCCTTGTCCCTACAAAAAAATATTGAAAATCCACCACTGTAGTAAATCGTTTAAAAATGTCTTACAACTAACTTATCTTTTTAAGTTACATAATGTAATACTTCAGTACAAATTACTATTAGACTTATATCTAATTTAAAATAGATATTGAGTATTTATATTGATAATTTTCTATTAAATCAGAATGCCTAGGGAACCTATTTATAACTTATAATAATATACTTCCACAGCGTGATTATTTATAGTTACGAGATGTACCAAAATATTTAAATAACAATAACTCAAATTACATTTTTTAATGCTTCTTTTTTCATTTTTGTATGAATAAGCAATACTCTTCAAACAGATAAGAATTTTCTGAATCTTTAAGTTCAGTTCACTAATATAATAAAAAATTTTTTTGAAAGATATTCTAAAGGAGGTGACACAAAAAAAGTATAATTTATAAAAAAATTGTGAATAATAACTTGTTTAATTTAATTTATTCGTTGAATTAGGAAGTCCATTATTGTAGGCAATAATAACTCATCACGTTTAATGTTTAAAAGTTATGCTTGTGTCAGAGGGGACGAAAAAACCTACTTAGACCAATCAAAATCGAACCAATATGTCACCAACTGAGCTAGGTGGATGCCTAATTACTAATATCTAGATTATTGTATTATCTTCAATATTATTGAAGTAATTAAATCATCATATAACAAACCTCAAATATAAAAATCGTAATAAAAAACAAAATAATTTTAATTTTCATAAATATATTACCCTATAGAAAATATGATAAGTTTTTATTATTCATTATTTTTGTTGCAATATTTAGTAAATATTTTCAGAAATGGAAAAAATAAATAACATTTTAAAAAGCTTACATCATTTTATTTTATAATAAAATATTCAATAACAAAATTATTATATAAATTAGTTTCGATACCAATTACTATTTTATTAATGAAAAATGAAAATATCTTTAAAATTAACTCTCAATTTTCAAAATATGTTTAAAACAATAACAATTCATAAATGATTAAATTAGATTTAAAAATAATTTTAACTTTACAAAACATTTTTTATAAAAATATACATATTATGCAGCAGATCTACAATGTAACATTTACAAAATAATTTAAATTTATATAATATAGTTATATTAATGGTTACAATAAAGTTTAATCAAAACATGATTGAGCAAGAATTTAATCTCATTAGGAGATAACACAAATTTCACAATGTTTAATATTTTAAATAAGTATAGAAAATGTAAGGCACACAATGCAAGAAAAATATTAAAGCATTATAAACTTAATTTTATTCGGAAGACAAAAAGACTTGAGCAATTTTTTTTTCAATTTTTTATTGGCACATATTTTTTTCAAGTTAGAATTTGATAAATAAAAGTTGTATTTTTATTATGTCTAGCCTTATTATAGGAACTTAAAAAAATTCAATTTTTTTTTTTTTAATAAGAGCTAGTTTACAATATGTATTATAGAATCAGAGAAATTTTAAATTAATGAAATTATTATGATTTTTTAAAAACATTAATTCTGCTATAGAAATTTTAAATATCTATTTATTTAACACTTACTGACATTACAATTTTAAAATTAAGTTTTAATATATAATATATTTATATGGTTTTATATTACCATACATTTCATTGTAGTACCTACAATAAAGATTTGCAAGACATTGATATATTAAATAATATACTAATTTATAAGTCTTTAATATTATAAAATTAAAGGTTTATTTTTTTAAACTAAAAAAGTAAAAATAAAAATAGTAATATATGGTACGGATAATGAATGGCATTATATATAAGCGCTGTTCTAACTTTCAACTACTTTGTCAAAGATCACTCAACATATACTTCAGAATTAATTAAGACTCATATTTATAAATTTAACATTGTTTAAGTAATGGTTCCATATAAATTTAATAAAAATTTATACTGAACTAGAAAATCTGAAATCCTGTTTATTCCAATTTTGTGGATACGATATATCCAATAATGAAGGTTCCTTTTGTTCGTAAGCACATACTTTCAAGTCCAATGAACAGGTCAGTCTTTGGGGAACAGGTCTTTCAACATAGCATGGTCTGTAGCAACATGGTGGCCAACAATAATAGAGAGGGTAATCTACATAAGGATATCTGATAGGACTCACATATAATGGTCTCTCAGCCGTTTCTACCATAGGTGCCAATGGTCGCTTTTTACAAGATTCTAAATCCAAATCTTCTTCTCTTTTACGTTTTGTAAGATCTAAGCATGTTGTAGATAGATCTAATGCAGAATCTTCTGTATCGGATAAATCTTCAACATTAACATCACTATCAGAACCTGATGTTTCAACAGTAGTAATGGCTGTTTTAGGAGGTTTTGGTGCACCAACTGCTTGCTGTACTGCTAATCGTAAACTTGTCTCAGTTTGTAGCCATTTTTGGATTTGTCTTCTATGAATACCATACTTTCGAGCTGTTGCTCTTTGATTTCCTTGGCAATCTGAGTCTTGTCGGTAGGAATCTAACACCTGTTGATAAAGATAACACAAAGTCAGTTAAACAAAATCAATACTTTTTTATTTCTTCTAATATAAATAATCTAAATTTAACCCCTTATGTTTTAAAATATATAAATGTTTTGCTATATATATTTTTAGAAGCTTTGTACAGATATTGAAATTATCTATTAAAATATTGTGATGATAATGATAAAACAAAATATTTAAGTGCAAAGTGCTTGTGGTGACAATGATAACAAATATAATTTAACTATTTTATGTAATGGATATAGCATTGTTCTAAGAAATGAAATTTAGTTTGGCAAGCCTCATTGGTGTTCAAGCAAGTGGATTATAAATGACATTTATTTTAAATTAATTTTGGCACTAAACCCAAACTAAATTAAAAACAATTTAAATAAATAAAGCAAATGTTAATTTTAACAACTGATAACGATTTAATAAAAAATGATAAATAATAAAATTAAAGTAAAAACAAACTAATTTAATATTTAATTACCTGTAATTTAAATTGCGGAGGAAATATTCTTCTGGAGCCAACAGGCGCTTTAGGCCTCTTTTCTTCTACTTTACCGACAGGTTCGTCTGGTGCACCGTGAGCCATATTTCGGTTGAACTCAATACAAACGTTGTGATCGGTTGTCGTTGTCAGATGAAGACCACACAGATTACGGCGAATACAATATCGCTTCACTTAATAATATTAAATTAATTGAAAAACTACAGCAAAATAATAAAAAACTAATAAATTGCTGATAGAAACTGAAGGATGAGCACAACTAGTAATAATAAAAATTAAACGACGCAACTAGAACGAGCTGTTTTCAAGTAGACGCGGTGGCGCTTGCTGGTACAAAAATCAGTGCCAAGCTGTCTGAGTGCGTGTGCGGCGTTGCATTCACACAAGTCACCCCTGACCGCCACTACACCGTCCCGCACTACTCGTCTCAGTCCATCCCCACCGTTCGGACAAGGACCGATTCTTGACTCGCGGTGTGCGCCTCATACGATCCATCCAGCCGTGTTGGCGACAAAATACATCAGACCGATGAGTCTACCGACGCGGTCATAATGGGTTCATGATATTTTTTTTTTATCCCAGCTACGTCTACGTAGCACTCGCTTACCGCCTTTCGAGTACGGACGTCTGTTGTTATTTTACACGGAGCCATTTTCATGAGACGCACGTTGAGTTTGTTCAATTTCAATTGCTTTAGACTCATCGGTCTGACGTACCGAAAGAATTCGACGGACCGGCAGCGGATCTGATTGCTAGTAGAGCCGCGTTGCCACGCTATCGTAAAATCCGGTCGACAGCGCCACACCGGTTCGGCTTGTATACAGAACGATAACCGCAATAGATATTCTATACAGCGTACACACATAACATACTACCCACACACTTATCCTAGTGACTTCCTATGCTATACAATTTGACGGAAGTGGCCTTGTGAGAAATTATAATAAATAAAGTTTGATAGGCAAAACTATGGTAACTAAAGGCCCATGTCTTTAATGTGTTAGAAAAACGCATACAGATGTCATAATCAAACAGTCATTTTATTAATTTATATGTAAAAAGTAACAAAAGAACAATGGCGTAGCCAAGATGGCCCAGAAGGGGCGGGGAAGAGGGGATTGACTGCAATATTAATTTATAAAATGAAATGATGAGCAAAAAAAAAAATTTCAAGTTATGAAATTTTGCAGATTTTTTTACTATAAGCCGCCAATTATAAAATCGAGACTACATTACTGTAACAGAAATTTAATTTTCATAGTATTTCTAGAAATTTCTGAAAAACGGAGGCTTCATATTTTTAATTTTCGACCATTCATAAGTCAATATTAAAGGGTTGTAGTCAATGATTTAAAGGTTTCCGATTTTTTCGTTAAAACAAACTTTTAATGACACCTAGATAAGGGGGCCTCTTTTAAATTTTTTACTCACAATTTACATCTAAAACTAATGAAGAGCAGTACCCTTTCCCTTACGCTCTTTGTACTTATTTTTAAATAAGATTAACTTATATCAGTATTCGAGGACCATAAGAATAAATAAGAAAAAAATTGTATACATTAATTATTTAATAATATTGAAAAATAAATTGCTTTAGTTCTATCATATTTTTATTAACTTAATTTTTATATAGTATTATAAATTAAGTTTTTTTTTTGTTAAGTAGAATTTTTTGCTAAATTTATTTATTTTTTTGACTAAAAAACACAATCTCAGTGTTTTTTTCAAGAGAATATAAAATTATTTTTGTGATTTATACTGATTCTATTTTCCTACAATTTTTTTTAATATTTATATTTATATGACTATTTTTCAAAATATGACATGACAATTTTAACAATTATCTAGAAGAACAACAATAAACTAAAAATTTCAATGGACATAACATTTTTGAAGTGCAAAAGGCAAATCTTCCTTTAAATTAACTCGTAATTTTTTAACGCGTAAAATAAAACTACTTTCCCTATGCTTATAATAAAAAAATATCAAAACTTAATTTTTATAGCATGTTAGGTTATGGATATAGCCACAGAATTAATCTATGTAGAAAGGGCTGTATTTAGGAATTGTGTCGCCCGGCGTACTCAATTTGGTACCCCCAATGACCTTTTTATTTTATTTATTTGAATGAACAAAAAAAGGTCTTCAACTCTATAATTTATATTGACCCATTTTATCGCTACCTTTAAAAACGTTCTGTCCGGGTAAATCCCACCTCTAAATACGTCCCTGTATGTACTGCTATTTATTTTGAATGTATTTTTTTTTAATTTATAAACTATTATGAATAATAAAGTTTTGAAAACCTTACATTAAAAAGTATAATTCATTAGTAAAAAATGTTCACTGCATTACTATATGAAAGGGCATTTAGAACATTTGTATCATGCCCCCTCCCAATAATGTTATTTGATAGATGGTTTTAATTTTATTGATAGTTGTTGACCTATCTTACCATTGTAGCCTAGATTGATCGCACAATTTGTGGAGGTTAAATGAATGCAAACTAAGCTTATGTTCTAGGAATAAATAAATTACAACTTATTACGTAGTTATAATAGTATTCGTATAAATGAATAATTGTTTTAAGTTTTAATCATGAAAAACTTTTAAGTTATTAATTATAAATTGAATTTTTACAGCGAACATTTGTTTTTTTCAATGGCAAAGAGCAGACTGAGTACTTGTTTTACCGATGCTCAAGATTGTACGCACTTGTCATTAGACTTATTTTTTCATAAGATTTTAGAGACACCTATAATCGAAGCTTGGGCGTTGAGAGGTTTTAGTCCCACAAAATTTTCGAAAATGATATATTCATATATATAAATACATATTTATAAAATATTTTTAGGATAGCCATGTAAAATTCCAGTTTGTTTATAAAAATTAAAAAATATCTATAGTATTACATAATAACGATCAGTGAAGTTATATAAAGTTTTACTCGAGTGGGGAAAATTTTTGACCGGCCTATTGTTTTACAAAGCTGCTCCTCACTCCACGACAATTTATACCTTCGTAACATTCACAAATAAATTACAATGAAAAAGCTAATATTTCTTACAAACTTTTTCTTATAAATAATCTCAACAATAGTAAAATATAATTTATTAGGCTTAAATCTATTCGATCATAAAAAAAATTAAATGATTGCTAAGCTGTGGAATAAATTAGTTATTTTACATTTTTTTTAGCGACTGAATAACTTTTTGATTAAATTAGTATTTATAAATAATGTATTGGTTTTAGAATGTTGTTTACTCGCATATTAATTATTCTACTGCTTCAAATATATATAAACGATGAACCTCAATGAACAAAATTTATTTTCATTTTAATTTCTAATTAGTGGTAACTTAGATTTCGTTTTGGGAGAGATATGGGTATATTATTTTTACCCTTCCTTAATTAGACCAGTGTGTATAATTATATTAATATTATTAATAAATATATTTTTACTTGGGGTCTAGATAAAGTCAACAAAAATCGAGCTAATATCATTTGTAAAAATCGAATTTAGGAATTGTGATTCCCAGGGTACTTCATTATACCGCCTCCAATGAGAGTTTTATTTTGGTTGTCAATCCAATTGTTCTTTATTTTCTATGCATCGCTATTTTATTTAAATGAGCAAAAAAAAAGGTCTTCAACTTTATAATTTATATTATTTCATATTTTAGTGCCCTTAGTCCTAAATGTCACCCTGATTAAAAAGAAGATAACTAAAACAGATTTTATAGTCAGATATAGAACAGGGAGGAGTTATTAGGATGCTAGAGTATTGCAATCATGTAATAAAAATTGATTTATTGTAGCTAACATTATTTAAAATTAAAGATATTAATTTAAAATATATGGAGTATGTGTTTAGCGCTGATGATGGTAATATTTTCACCGACTTTTTTAGTACTTTTTGTGGCTCTTCGAGTTAAAAAAAGAAATTAACACCACGCAAAAACAAAACACACATAATTCTATTTTACAAAAAGATAAATAGAGACGACATATATTAAACTTAGTACTTATTTTAGTTAGATTATTAGTCCAATTGATGAATCATCACATCATTACGAAATATCTTAAAAATAATTTCGTCTATTTAATAAAGATTTGGTTTAACAATAAAATAGGTGAAGAGTAATGTAATCGAAAAACAGATTAGAGGTACCTAATATTTTTTAGTGAATAATTTTATTCCTATTTAAATTTGTTGATAAGTCTTGTGAAATCTAATTTATTAATTTGACTTAAAATGCATTTTTTTCATGTGGATTAAATAATATTTTCATAAAATTGTTGTTTACTGTTTTATAAATTCTGCTTTCATTTCAAATGGACTAGTGTTATTTGAATAAAATTATATATTTTTTATATGAAATGTTTGGTTTTTAACAGTAATACGCCTAACATAGCATTCTAGAATATCATAAATGACTTTCACGGCTCGTTGTGGTTATCATGATTTGCCTGTTGAAAAAAATGTTCGAAATGAATGAACACTGCCCATACGTGCAAGCATTTTAATATTACGCAGTAAGCCGTCAAAAAAACTTAGGTTTACATTAAAAAGTATTATTTTATGTTTTAAATGCATGTGTTTCCAACGCGTGTTACTTAAATGGTGTACTAGGAATAACACTACGCATCATACCTACACGTGTTATTTTCACGCTGCGTCTGTTGCCTGTGCACAATCCGGCATCGCGGCTACAGCAGCCAGACAGGGTGACGCCGAGCGCCCCACCATCGTCCATCCGGCAATAGTTTAGTATGAGTGTTTGTGTGGCGTATCGAGAGTCCGGCACGTCGCAACCTCCACTATTATATTACCGCCGCCAATTCCCTCGTCGTCCGTTTGACTTTCCTTTGTCCTTTGTATACGGGTATGGGTATGGGACGGCGTCCGAACAGCGCCTCGCTGTCTGCCCTTTCGGGCCCCTCCGGCGCTTCTCGTCGCGCCGCACCACACCTCATCACCCAGCGGTATACCAGAAAGGTCGCATATTTTCAGGTACCCGCGCACACACGCTTACATATGCACTGTACTGCATACACACAATCACTAACACATAGTAATAATAATAAAGTATAAACACAAGAAGGTGTCGTGTCGAGGCCGCAGACCCAAAATAGTCACGAAAATGTGCCCCCGATAGAGAACCGGTTGATATTACAATAACGATAATACGTTAGAGTGATCCCAAATGTACCTGTTTGCCGAAAAAAAAAAAGGAAATTCAGTAAAACATGTTACTTTTTGTTGAATTTAACACGTTTTCTTCACGGCAACGGAATCGTACCGTGTACACAGATATTTTCTTTACACAGCTAAATAAATTAAACACATTTAATTGTATTTAATGCTGTTTGTATAATT